ACTGTTTTTAATAGCCGAGGACAATTATCGGTTCGTTCCTCTCATCCGAGTTGTGTAACAACTTTTATCGAGTTTATAATCTTTTTTCATAATTTCTAATGATTCTTAACTTCTTTGATTAGTCTTATCAGCATCGTTAAGAGTTTAGTGCACTCACATCCATCGCTCTTGCTTCTCTCTCATTTCATCTCTTTTTTTCTGACTTTCCGAGGATTCTGAGTTTCAAACGTGATTGGGGATCAATTGAGAGTGATTATTATTGGAGAGGGTGGAGTACGTGAAGTGATTTTCACTATTGATACTGTGAAATTCATAGGGAATAACTAGAAAAAAAACACTTCAGGAAACTTTTTTTTCGTGCTAAGAAGGGAAGTAGGGGTGGAAGGTCAAACATTTTTAAGCGCCAAACGGGAGAGATAATTGGAATTCTAGAAGGGGCAAACGGATGGCAAGGAGCCTTCTGATTGTTTTGCTCACTTTTCTCGTTTGAGCCTTCAGAACGTTTGACCTTTCTGATAATTCTACGTATCTCTCATTAGACTCATAAGTCTCCAGTCTTCGGAAGAGTGTGACCCTTTGGGAGAGACTGACGAAATCATCAAAAGGGTTAATCGTTCTTACGGGCCAAACGGGAGAGCAAAAGACCTTTTGATTGTTTTTCTCGCTGATAACTCCACGCGACTCTTCGATTTGGCCCTTGAAAACGTTTAACTCATCGGGAGAGACTGGCGAAGTCATCAAAAAGATCAAACCTTGTTCGGGGTCAAACGGAGGAGACGAGCGAAATTATCAGCAGAATCAAATGTTCTTGGGGTCAAACGGGAGAAATGTATGAAGTTGTATGAAGGATCGAAAGATCATAAGGGTTTCGTCCCTTGAGAACGATTCGCTCTTCTGATGACTCTGTCAGTCTCTCCTGAAGGATCAAAAGTTCTTAAGGGCCAAACGGGAGAGACAGGTGGAGTTATCGGAAGGGTCAAACTATCATAAGAGTCAAACGAGAAAGAAAAAAATCCTCTAATTGTTTTGCTCACTTCTCTCATTCGAGCCGTATGAACGTATATCTCTTCTGATGACCCCACCAGTTTGTCCCCAAAGGTCAAACGATCATAAGGGCTAAACAGGAGTGACGTGTGGAGTCATCATTAGGATCAAACGGCAGAAGAGGGCAAATCTATCATAAGGGCCAAGTGGTAGAGTTGAGCAAAACAATTCAAAAACCTCTCGCCCTCTAATGACTCCGCACGCCTCTCCCATTTGACCCTTGAGAACGTTTTAGCCTTTTGATAACTTCACACGGCTCTCTCGTTTCACTCTTCTGATGATTCCGCCAATCTCTCCCGAAGGCTTAAAAGTTCTTAAGGGCTAAACGGGAGATATAGGTGGAAATATCAGAAGAGTCAAACGATAAGGGTCAGACGAGAGAGAAAGGGCCCTCTGATTGATTTTCCAACTTCTCTTGTTTGACCCGTATGAACGTTTCTATCTTCGGATGACTCTACCGGTCCTAGCCAAGGGTCAAACGTTCATGAGGGTCAAACGGGAGCGACGGGCGAAGTTATCATTAGAATCAATCGGAACAAGAGGGTCAGATGGGAGAAGAGGGCAAATCCATCATAAGGATCAAGCCGAAGAGTTGAGATAAACAATTCGAAGGCCTCTCTGCCTCTCCCGTTTGACCCCTTGACCGCTACTCCTATAAAAACAAAAACAAAGTTTCCGGAATTGCGCCAAATATTCGTTTTTGCTACCTGAATTCATGCATTCCCTGATGGAATCACTTCGAAACCCAGAATTCACTCTACAGCACAACTAATCTCTAACTCCGTGCTTCTAGTTACTGATTACGATGAAACCTAGTTCCTAGAAATTTATAGCTTGCTGAAGATAGTCCTGCTGAGGTAGAGCTTCCGAAAAGTTACTCGGGGTCTCGTCATAGGCGAGCCCCAATACATCCATACGATTATCAACGATTACGAAAGCACGAGTGACAAAAACACAAATTACCCAAATAATTAAATCAATAAATAAAGTTAAACAAAGCTACCCCCTCCCCTCAACACTAGAAGGGCAAAAATTATAGGTATTGAAGGGCACATTCGCACATCATATTCATAAGCATAAAAATTAATGAAAAAATCAAATAATGATTTTTTTATGAAAAAAAAAATTGAAAACATTTTTTTTCTAACCAGATGGAGAAAAATGAAAATCATTTCATGCATTTTTCGGTCATTTCCGCACCTCACAAATTCATAAAAACGAGAATGTTTGAGATTTTTTTTTAAATTCTCCATTTCATTCTGAAAAAATAGTTGAAGGGTCATTCGCAGACGAATGAGGAAGTCATCCCCATCGCTTAGCGCATGCGTCCCGCTTCTGCACGATCGTTTGTCTGTTTTCCCCATCCTCTTGAGCAGAGAGTGGAGAAAATAACGAAAAACTCCCCTCATTCCACCATCACTCGAAGATATAAACGTGTTCCTTGCTGTTCTTCAACGCCCTTCCGAAGATCAGATCCTCAGGATTGGAATAGGAGTTGAGATAAATCGAGGATATCGATCGAAAAGACGGATTCAGAGGGGATTTGAGGGATTTTTACATTTATGGAAACATGAGAATATGAATAAAAATATGTCACATCGAATAAGGGGATGAAATTCAGGGATTGCTTGGTAAGAAGGATTGTGGAAAAATTCAGTTTGGATTATTTCGGGAATATCTCGGTAACGGGGATTAGAAGGAAATGTTGGAAGACCTTTTTGAAGGTAATGAGAATCTCTTTTGATGTTTCGGTGGACCTTCGTGTGAGTTTCGAACGGATTTGCTGATTAATTTGTGGATCTCTTGGAGATTAACTTGGAAATATTTCGATAACTAGAAGGTTTAGACGATAATACCAAGAGAATTTTTTTGAGAATTTGCGAAGTAGTTTTAGTTGACGTATTTAAAAAAATTGAGATAGTGCTCAATATTGAAACTGTATTTTTTATGTCAATTTTTTTTTAATTGTAGAATTTTGCCGTGCATTTTTCAATAGATATTTTTTATTCAAAAAATCTATAGGTGTTGATTTTTCTATATAACTCATTTCGTTAGGATTTTTTCTGTAGAAATTCTTGAGCAGGAATTCAAATTCGAAAAAAAATTATGAAAGAAAAATCGGAATCTATTGACTTTTTTCGATGAAATATGTCTTAAAAAATGTCACGGCACGGTTTATCATCTTCAATAAAATTGGCCAGAAAAAGCAATAGAATTATTTTACAGAATTTTAACTGAACTCCAATAAAATTATTACAGATTTCATTTTCTATGATATCTGCGATATTTCAAAATCTAAACGAGTAAAAAATCCTGAAATCAAGTGATTTTATCACTAATTTCTAGTGACACAGTCTTAACTCTTATGATTTTTATCCCTAAATTTCAATCATTGAAGACTTAAAATTTAGAGTCATTGTAATTAGTGTCCAGAAAAAAAATAAGGATGAAGTCCAAAAGATTATAAATTAGTAGCGAAGTGGTAAAACGATGCAAATCAAGTTTGACTATTGACCAGTTTTCAATGAATATCTCGGAATCAAAGGGAGATAGCAAAATTGTTGTTATAATTTTTGTTGTAGAGCCGATTGAGAGCTACAACAAATGTAATTACGAAAATTTCGCTATCTTCCTTAGATTCGGAAATATTCCTCAAAAACTCAACTGAGAGATGAGTCGAGTTAAACCGTTTCACCACTTCGCTACTGAAATCCATGATTAACAACTATCATAAAACTTTTTTTCTTCAGTGTTTTATAAACTACAAACAAAGTCCACAGATATTTCGTCTAAACCTAATCGTACAGAGATATTTTCAAAATACTCTGTCAATCCAGTATCTATGAACTACATCTACATGGTTTCAAATGTCTCAAAAACTGCTAAATGCAGAGAGAAAGGTTTTCAAACCTTTTTTGTAGAGAATTACATTTCCTATAAAAAATATCTACTGACAGTTCACCCGAGATATTCTCTAGTATCAATCAATCCCTGAATATAACATTTCCCGTACTCAGTAAAATTAAAAAAATTAATAACTAATTTTGTGAAGTTCCAAATGCTGAAAATAATCTTACGAGGTTCCCCTCACGATTCTACAACTCGTTAAACCCAATGAAGAAGTGAAAACAAACTCCGAACAAAAGTATCGTCGTTAATCACGCAATTATTCTCGCAAATGAGCGGTTTCAAAGAAACATCTCAAGAGAACTTTTTCTTCAGAAAAAAGTCCTTTGTTGAGTTATCATCACTCCGATCATTACCGAGATAATTCACCTATTGAGACAGATTATGTGGAATAGAATCGTTTTAATACTTTTGTACTGAAGTCACACAAAAAAAGGCAATCAAATCGAAAATATTGTTTTTAACTCAAAATCTAAAGCCCAAAAAATGAATAAATTTCACGAATGACAATTTTTATTCCAAAATATTCAGTGCAAGATCGAAATTATCTCGAAATCTCAGAATCCCAAGGGCGTATGAGATTTTGCATTAATTCTTTAGAACTTTATCTCTCACAATTTTTTCGAAAATTAATTTTAGAAATTTTAATAGTAATGAATCAGTTGGAAAATTACTTTATTCATTGCTAACTTGTTATAAATAGTTCATTAAATATTTAATGATTATTAATAACAAGAATAATATTAATTATTATAGACTATTGATTATTTATTTTTTAATAATTTGTTTTTGATAGAAGAGAAACAAATTTTGAGCGCAAAAAACAATATTTTCAATTAAAAAATTGTTTTTTTTTTTATAAAAAAATAATTTCAATCCAAATAATAGTCATCACAATTCCATCATGCACTTGAATAAACAAAACATAAGAAAAATATTGAAATATATATTTTCAGTCACGTTAAATACACTTAGGAATACACTAGAACACTAGCCTCGATTACTTTGTTAAATGGGATACGTGATGTATATGTGTGTATGTTGTACAGAGGATAAGAAGGGCGGTGTCGACCGGAGCAGCACGGTCATAGCCAAAGAACCCGAAGGTAACCCATGAACAAAAATCCAAAACAATAATAAATAACAAAGTATTAAAAAGTATACACACGCATACTCACTCACACAAAATGAAAAATAAAGAGAGCCACAATGAACTTGACACTGAGAAATGAAAAAAGAAAACACTTTCAACACTAGAGAAATCGATGTTATACCCACAATATCTGTGTTTGAATTTGTGTGTTTGATTTTGCTGACATTTATTGGAATTGAGTTCTCACACTTTTTTTTATGTTCACCAACGGCGATTCTCGAGCGATCCGCACTGAGTTATCTCGCTTTTATTGTCTGGGGGCGATGAAACGAGTTAAAATGAGATAGGGTGGACTTTCCGTCTGGAGCATGTCCAAGTGGTGCTGCAGTCTAAGGAAATTTTTGGCCTTTTTTCACTGGAAAAAACAATCAGTTCTCACGAATATTGTTCATACTTTGTTTTTTTTTTATATCAAGGGTCCAATGTCAAAAGTCAAATTCCGTAGAGAATTGACACATGACTATTTTTTTTTTTATTCATATTTCTTTCCTACTAACATTACGGTTTTATAAGCTCCCCATTCGTCTGCCTTGCCTCTCCCACTTCTCTCTTCTGATTTTTTTCTGCGTTACCATGGGCCGTCTTATTCTTAACTGTACCCCATTCGGGCTAGGGCTGCAAGGGAAACCATGGAAAACCCTAGTCGTACAGCCGGCCGATTGTGTAGAGCCCTAATGTGCCCTTCTGTCACACTGACTAGAGGGGCACATTAGGCCACTGCACCGTGCCTACCTTCCGAAATTTTTGGGCGAGGGTGTTCCCAAGCGGTCACCCATCCAAGTACTAACCGCGCTAAACGCAGCTGCACTCGTATGTCCGCCGGAGCAACACCTAACTCACTCATCCATTGCGGTCGGTTATCACATGACTATTTCTAAGTGAACAAATCACCCTCTGACATTCGTAGAGAGAAGGAGAAGGAGAGAGAGAGATTTCATGTTTTTAGGGCTAAAAGTCGATCTCAATCAGTATTTTTTTTTAATTTTACGGAGAATTAGGCCTTTGTAATTATAAAAAATCGAGATAGAATGGACTTTCCATTTTGAACATGTCCAAGTGGTATAGTGTTAGGAAATTTTTGGCCTTTTTTTTAATGAAGGAAAAAACAATACTTTTTCAGCAATATTTCTCATACTTTGTTTTTTTTTTATATCAAGGGTCCAATGTCAAAAGTCAGTTTCCATAGAGAATTGACTCTTGACTACTTCTAAGTAAGAAAATCACCCTCAGAGCAAAAAGTCGATCTCATTCAGTATGTAGTTAATTATACGGAGAATTGGATCTACATAATTATAAAAAATCAAGATCAGAAGTGACAGAATACTTTAAAATGGTCTCTTTTTATTTTGAGTTGGAGTTTTCGATGCAAAAAATCATTAGTATTCCTTTTTTTTCAACAAGGTTTTTATTCAATGAAAAATAGTCAGTATTTACATGTATACATATCTTGAAAAATAGTATCAAAAAACTTTTATGAAAAGTATTGTTTTAGTACAGTAGACTCTCGTTATAGTCGCACTCACGGGGCTGTAGGGACAGCCGATTCTGAGAATGGGACTGTATTTCTCTTCCCCCACCAGGCGCTCACGGTAAGCCTAAATTCCGGGAATCGGGAGCGATAAGAAAGTAAATTTTACTCCAATTATTTTTCTCTTCAATTTGCATTGAACATTTTTATAAAATATAAAAATTATTTTCATTAAACACTTTTATTAAATTAACAAAATGAATTGCGTTGAACACTTTTAGTAAATTAATGAAATGAATAGAAATATTAATAACATCGCATTGTTCAATACACTCCAAAATTTATTCACTTCATTCAAATAAAAAGCAGGATTATGCACCACTGCAAAGACCCTCTCTTCGTGACAGTCAAGAGTGAACTGAATTTCTCTCTCGCAAATTCATTTTTCCTAAAGTTTAGTTCCCGAATTTCTTAGAAATGCAAAACAAAGCCCATTCCGAGAAAACACAGGGGCATTTAAATCCACACCTCGGAGGTGGTACGGAGTGGGGGAAGCGCTCGAGCTCGAAAAAATCGATATGAGGGGAAATGTGACTATAATGAATGCGTCTATAACGAGAGTCTACTGTATATCGACTCTTGGCCCACTATTGACTGTCGAGTTTATATTACATTTTGCATTTGATTTGATACATTGTATTTAGTCTTTGAAATGCAATTATGTTTGCGATAAGTGGAATTTTGTGGTTAAAAAAAAAGTTTAATTTTTTGCTGGATGTAAGAAAAAAAGGCACTTTCATATCTGCGTGAATCATTATTATTTCTTAAGCTGAGCGGTACAGGCACTACTTCCCCTACCTCAGGAAGTAGCAATTTTGAAATTGATGAGAAGATTAGTAATCTCTTTTAACAATAATGAAATTTATTCTTGTCTTTACCAATCTCTCGGGTCTAATATCAAAAGAATAATTCTCCTGAAAAAATTTACGTTTTTGACTATTTCTACACTAAAAGTCACAATCTTTTCCTCGATTAGATGCCGAAGAGGCTTAAAACATTGAGGCAAGTTGGGCCATTCTTGTGACAAGAATGGATAGTTTTCCGAATACCTCAAGTTTGTTACAATCTGTAATCAATATTGCTAAGTTCTTGTGAACTAAATAAATTTTCGCAATCTTGATCGTCGATTGCGACAAACTCGAATGAGTTATTCAAGAAACTATCCATTCTTATCACACGAGTGGTCGGATTTGCCTCAATCTTCAGAGGGAGATTTGTGGCAGGCATTTTTTTTGCTCCTGAAAAATTCTCTTCTCTCTTAGAGAAAAAATCACCACCTGACATTTTTAGAGCGTCGCAATGTTAAATTCTTGGACGAGTGTGTGTGAACTTTTACTGGGGAGAGACAGAGATTTTACGCTAGAAAATACCAATCGGTCTCAATTATTAGATAATTCATTCGCATTTTACGAAGGGCCTTTATCTCTATATTATAAAAATCTAAATCGACTTCTAGTGATGAAAACTTGGAACTCGAAATTAAGACTCCAAAAATAAGGGTCACAAGGGTCAAAATAAGGGTCATGAGGGTCAGAATAAGGCTCAAATGTTAGAATAAGGGTCACGAGAATCAGAATAAGGATCAAGAGGGTCAGAATAATGGTTCAAATAAGGGTCACAGAAGTTAAATTAAGAGTCATATGACACAGATTAAGGGTCTAAATAAGAGTCACAAGGATCAGATCATGGATCACAAGGGTCACAGTAAGGGTCCAAATAAGGGTTATGGGGGTCAGAAACTAAGGGTGAGAATAAGATCATATGAGGATCATAGGAGGGTTGGCGAATGGAGCAAACAGCGGGCGTAGTTATAAAAAATCGAGATCAAAAGTGACAGAAAACTTTGAAATAGTTATTTTCATCACAAGGTCCACAAAGTATTTTCTGACGAATGCGGCTTTGTAGGCCGAGCCGAAGACGAGGCCTATAATCACATTCGTCAGAAAATACTTTTGGACCGTGTGATGAATGCAATTTTTCGTCAGAAGGCCCGTAAACCGCGATCAAACCGAGCGAAGCGAGGTTAGAATCGCGGTTTACCGGGTCTTCTCACGAAAATAGTCTTTTCTTATTTTCAGTTGAGGTTTTAGATGCAAGAATCATCATACAGCCACGCCAGACATTTTTATATTCTCCATGTTTTTTTACTAGATAAATTTCATATTTTTTCAGAATAAGAAATCGATTTTATTCAGTTATTCTCATTATGTGAATCTCATTTTCAACTGAACTTTATGTTTTCCAGTAAAGAAAGGCCCAAAAGTAAAATATTTAGGGGACATTCCTATCCAAATGTCGATGAGGAAAAAATTGAATGCAATTTTATAAATGTTTCACCGCCTCCATGCAATTATTTCACGCTTCAACGTTCATGTTATTTTCGAGGATCAATCTTTTCCACTTTTGCTTTTATGGGATTTGTTTTTTTTTCAATCAAATTAAGTTTTTTCTTTCTCTTTGAGCTTAACGTCGCAATGCGCGTAAACCCCGGGATATGCCACAATTTTTTCAAATGAAAAATGAACTGAATAAATTGAATGAATTTTTCATCGCGGGTAATTGGAGTGGCCCCGGGGTTTAGCGTTGAGCCTGCTTTGAATTAATTACGCTTCTGCTAATTAAAAATAATAGATGAAAAAGCTAATGGTAAACGAAACGATTGTCTACCGCCTCCTAATCGTTCTAACGATGATATACACTTCGCGTAATTTCTGTGTGTGCAATTAAAAACGACGGAATTTATCGTTCTAACAGAGTTCTAACAAAGTGAAGATGTTTTTTTCCACGAAAATAGGGAAGAGTGGGCGTGCAAAATGGAACGGTAGTGAATTATGTTCTTTAGGGGTCAAATAGATTTGAGGGTCAAACGAAAGGAAAGGACGAAGAGATCAAAAGAAAACGGTTTAAAGGGTCAAGCGGAAGAGATCACTCTACTTGTCTCTCCCGTTTGACTCTTCAAAACATTTGACCTTGCACCTGGCTCTCCCATTTACCCCTCAAGAACGTTTGATCCTTCGTCATATTTTGAGTAATAGAGGTGAAGAAACAACAGAATGTTACTCTGCACTCTTTTTTTTCCTACTGTTCCAGTTTCCAGGAGTTCAATCATTTCAGGGTCAAATGAGGGGCAAGAGCAAAGGGATCAGGAGAAAACGTTCTTAAGAGTTAAATGAGAGAGAGCACTCTACTTGTCATGCCGGTTTGACCTCTGAGAACTTTTGATCCTTCTGATTACTCTATTCGTTTCTCTCATTTGACCCTGCATAACGTTTGACCTTCTACCTGGCTCTCCCATTTGCCCCTCAAGAACTTTTGATCCTTCGTCATACTTTGAGTAATAGAGGTAAAAAAACATCAGAATGTTACTCTACACTCGTTTTTTCCTACTATTCCACTTTTAGGATTCAATAATCTTGAGAGTCAAATGAGAGGGAAGAGCGAAGGCATCAGGAAAAAACGTTCTTAAGGGTCAAATAGGAGAGACAAGAAGGGGACAAGAGGGACAAATGGAAGGGATCTTTACTTATCTTGCCCGTTTGACCTTTAAAAATGTTCGACCCTTCTGATTACTCTGCTCGTCTCTCCTGTTGGATCCTGCAGAACGTTTGACCTTCTATCTGGCTCTCCCATTTGCCCCTCAGGAACTTTTGATCCTTCATCATACTTTGAGTAGCAGAGGTAAAAAAACATCAGAATGTTACTCTACGCTCGTTTTTTTCCTACTATTCCACTTTTAGGAATCAATAATCTTGAGAGTCAAATGAGAGGGAAGAGCGAAGGCATCAGGAAAAAACGTTCTCAAGGGTCAAATAGGAGAGACAAAAGGGGACAAGAGGGACAAATGGGATAAATAATTACACTTCAATTGTCTCGCCCGTTTGACCTTTAAAAACGTTTGACTCTATTGATTACTTTGCTGTTCTCTCCCGTTTAACCCTTGAGAGTGTTCAATCCTTCATTTTTTGAGTAATAGAGGTGGAAAAAGTAGCAAAATATTGCTCTACATTCGTCGTTTCCTACTGTTCAGGGTCTAACCACCCTGAAAGTCAAACGAGAGGGAAGAGCAAAGTGATCAAATAAAAACATTCCTGAGGGTCAACTGGGAGAGACAGGGAGAGTCTTCAAGAGGGTCAAATCGGAGAAACAAGTCACTTCACTTGCCTCTCTGGTTTGAACCTTGAGAATGTTTGACCCATCACCTGTCTCCCCAGTTTGACCCTTCATTACTTCTTCAAGAATTGCGACGAGACAAAAATGATTTGATTTTATCTTTCGCTACCGTTTCATTCCGCCCCATTCTCTCCTACCTGATCTTGCCAAAAAAATTCTTATATTGCCTCATTATCTCTACAGCGGTGTGCCTCCCCCTCCCTCTTAAAAAATCCCCCATAATTAATTTTGATTGATGAAAAACGCCAGACCAACTTCCGTCAGTCCCTAATGCCAAAAATTCAGTGCCAAATGCAAGTGGGCAAGTCTAAATTTATCCCAGTGCCAATGCAGAAATAAATTTCACTAGCGTTTTGTGCGTGCGTTAGAGCGACGAGAGGAGAGGCTCGATGAATAGAGTGACGAGATGCGGTGGGATGGGCAGAACTACTCGACTCCCCTCGATGCTTTTAGGTAACGTTGAGAATTCACCAGTGTTAATCGTCGGAAATATCCACCTGGTTACTTTAGTATTCCGGGGTCTAGCGTCACGGCTTACTTTGTCCTTTCGGCTTTCGTCAGATGTTCAGGCACGTGACGTTATTATGACGAATTTTTTTATGTAATTTTTTTATCTCTATTCGATTCAATTCCCATTTGGCAGAGTTTTCATTTGTTTTTGTGGAGTGGGGGACATGTCGGCTGTCACAACCAATACACCGGGCACGTCAAAACAGTCTGACAACAGTGAGTTTATTCATTACTAACTAAATTGACGGGAAAATTAATTTATTAACCAATTTTTGAGAGTGAATTGAACATCATTAAAATTGGTATGTATTCATTTTAATGATGTTATGAATTTTAATGCACGAAGAGGAAAATTGGATAAAAATTACCTGGAAAATCGTGGAAAATTTTACTGTACGAAAGGTAATTGTGGAGCGAAATGTAATGCAATGAAAAATACCTGTTTGTGGAGGATATTTTACGATTCATTCCGTAAAAAAACACATCTGTGGGTGCAAAAATGACTCTCACGTTCAGTAAATTTTCTCGGGCCAACGGAGAAAAATTCACTATTCGTCTCGCCCTTTTTCTCCAATGTAGATTGAAAAAGTACTGAAAATCGAGTTCTCGCCACGATTGCATGACATGTTCGGTAACTTTTCTGTAACTTTTTTCTCCACGTGATTTATGGATGTCCTTCACTCGATATTAACTACTTATATTGAATAATTCATTAATTATAGGAAGTAATTTCTTGGATTAAAACCATTTTTGAATACTTTGTATTTTGAATTTAACTTTAATTGAATTTGAGAAAAGTTTTTTTTCATTGTTGTCCATGGATCCATAAACAATAAATATTTATGAATAATAATGAATGATGAGATTAATTATTATTGCTGTTAATCAGAATATCTATTGGGAAATTGGAAATTCTATGGGGATTCTATTAAAATTCTATTTGTTTTTTACCCCAATTCTATGAGATATCAGATAGAAAAAACTCAATAGATTTCAATTTTTCTATATGAATATTCTTTTGGAATTTTTTCTATAAGAATACTTGAGCATCAATTTTCTAAGTTTTTTTCACTCGGATCCTGTAATGCAAAACAAAACAAAATATATCGGAAAAAACTTAGAAAGTCCGTGTCCAATAATTTTGATAGAAAAAATCTCAAGAGAAAAATTCAAACAGAAAAATCGAAATCTATTGACTTTTTCCTACCCAAATATTTACTAAAATCTGCGCAAAAAACAAACAGAATTCTAACGAGAATTCCCTACAATTTTTATAGAATTCCGATAGAATTTCTAGAGAATTGCAATAGAATTTTCTAGCGAATTCCCTAAGGTTTTCTGTTGAATTTTTTCATACATGTGTTTAAATATTTATTTATGCAGCTATTCATTTATTATTCGATTATTTACATTAGTTATTTGTCAGTTAGATGGATTTTTACTTTTTTGGGGATTTTTAATTTTAGTTTTGAATTTTTTGGAATTTTGGAGTTGATGGAATGCGTGAAATTCCTTGCGAATATCTGTAGGTACGATCCTAGCTAGGCCATGGTCAACGCATCTATTTTCGTGTTTAAACGTTTTAGTTGAATGTAGGTACGTATCATGTCTAAAGAAAATTTCGCATATGTGGTGGAATTCCTCTGCATCGGCACTGAAACAACGGTTATCAACTGAATTTATTGATTCACCTTGGAGTCTATGCGGTTTCGTTGGTTCTTAAATACTTCAGAGGGAATATTATTCGTGAATTCAACTTTTGACGATAAATCACTATTTTAACTGAGAAAAAACAAAAATTTCTGTGGAGAGAATATTTAATAGAAATCATTTGATTCTCGTACTTCATCAAAGGAATTTTATTTTTTTTTACTAAAATAGTAAAGGGTGACAAACTTTTCTACTTAATGAATCTTTTTTGAAAATTCATGAGAAAAACACATGAATAAATTAAAGATGAAAAATTTCGATTTTATAAAAATAAGGGAACTGGAATAGAGTTCTGTTTAACACTAATTAAAATTTTTTCATAATTTTTTAATATTTCAGAGAGAATATTATCTAATGAAAAATATTTAAAATTAATTTTTCACAATAAAAAAAAATTGAAATAGAAAAATTAAATTTTTTTTAGGAAAAATTAAATGAAAGTTTCATTTTCTTAAATAAAATAATGAAAATGCCATGAACTGTTATAAACTTTTTTACTCTATAATTGTTTTTCTTTCTATTGATGGAATTTACCATTGCCTTAGGAAAAACATGAATAATATAAAGAAATGACAAATTTTTATTTTTCAACAATTGAAAAACTGAGATAAAATTCTCTCTGAAACTAATTCTGATTTTCTATCAATTTTATGCGATGAAAAATTTTTATAAAATAACTATAAGTACCGGAAATTCAAACGAAAAGAGACCGATCTTCAAGTGAAATCATTTCATTAGGAATCAAATCAAAATTATATAATTACATTTCATAATGTCCATCACTTCATAAAAATATTTTCTTTTTATAAAAAAACGATCAAATGAATATAATAAACAAGTGACGAATTTCGACTCCATAAAAATTGAAACATGAACATAAAATTCTCTCTGAAGTCAACGATTATCGAAATTTCCCAACAACTCCCCTGAATTAAATAATCCATTCGCAAACATCACGCAATAATTCCCACCCTTCCCCGTCTACTTAACAAAAAAGATTGGAACTAAAAATTGTTAGTTGTTGTCAACTTTTCTTTTGTCAATTATATCTATAATAATAATTTTCCGAATTCGTAATCGACGAAAAAAAACCTAGGCTATGCGTCCCAGGGCACACCGCCTTCCAGTCCCGCGGCGGGTGCGATATTCTCCAGGGTAATGGGTGCAGCAACGGGGAACAAACAGGCACAGGCTAATCCGTTAGGTCTCGCCGCTGTGCTACTTCAGGGGGCGCAAGGTAAAACCGAGTCAATGACTTTTCCTAACGACTCGGTTGGACTAAAACAGTGTTTACAATTTTTTTGATGATTCCTCGGTGATTAATACCGGACGGCTCAAAGCGCTGGTGAACCACGCCGACAATCGTCCCGGAAATTGAATAAAAACGTAAAACCTGTGTGCCTGTGTGCTTTACATCGATGTCGTTATTAACGATGGTTTATTATTATTTTTATTCTTTTAACTATTCAGGACTTGATGTTTAAATGAATAAAAATGGATGGCCAAATGGATTTGGTCTTCATGTCAATCGAGGAGAATGTTTATAAACAATTGAATAAACATTTGAAATTTTCTAATCAAGAATGAATATGAGCAAATCCACGCTAGCTTGGCAGGCCAAAAACGTCGATGCTAGGGATTTTTGTCTCAATTTTTTCTGAAATGATGGTGATTAGACAAAAATTTTGAAAAAAGAAAAATTGAAAAATATTGACAATTGGCTAGTTTTTGTCGAAAAAATTTTTTTTTCAGTCGTTTTGGTCTCAATTCTCTTGTGTGGTTTACATGAGAAAACATTTTTTTTCAGTCGTTAACTATTAAAAAAGCTAATTTTATAAAAATCTGCAATTTTCAGCGAAAATTGTCGGATGTAATACCACAAGAACTTTAAAATTATCAGGGATTTCCCGATAGGTTCGTTGCAAACAACCGAAGGAGTCGAGTTTTTCGTGAAAAATGCAGTCCAATAGTGCAATTCTATTGGCTGAAATTTGGACGGAAAAAATTCTCAATAAAATGAAAGGAATTTATGGCCAATTAGAGTTCGTCTTTTGCCATAGTTCGGCGGTCATTATTTTTTTCAGTGGGACTAGTATTGAAAATGACCGGAAATAACTATTATTCATACAATTATCCTCCAAATGAGTGGATATTCAATTGAATAATTAAAAATGAGTCAGTTCAATTAAATTCTCGATTATCAACAACTGAAAGCTCTTTGAAAAATGTATTTTCATTGTATAACTAGAGAAATAATACTTTTTCACTCCAAAAATCATACTGAAGCTGAATAATAGAAGATATGATGAGGCTGATCCCATAGAATTCATGCAATTATCCCCCAAATGAATGAATATTCACTTGAATTATCAAAAATGAGTCAATTCAATGTAATTTTCGATTACCAAAAAGAGAAAGCTCTTTGAAAAATGTATTTTCATTGTATAAGTAGAGAAATAATACTTTTTCACTCCAAAAATCATACTGAAGCTGAATAATAGAAGATATAATGAGTCTAATCTCATCTAATTCATGCAATTATCCCCCAAATGAATGAATATTCACTTGAATTATCAAAAATGAGTCAATTCAATTTAATTCTCGATTACCAAAAAGGGAAAGCTCTTTGAAAAATGTATTTTCATTTTATANTACCAAAAAGAGAAAGCTCTTTGAAAAATGTATTTTCATTGTATAATTAAAGAAATAATCATTTTTCACTCAAAAAATCATACTTAAGATGAATAATACAAGATATAATGAGCCTAACCTCCTCCACTTGCTAATATTTAATTGAATATTCACTTATTCGGGCGATAACTGCATGAATAATAGCGGTTTCTGGTCGTTTTCAATACTTGTCTCAGTGAAAAAATTAATAACCGCCGAATTACGGCATAAGACAAACTCTAATTGGTTCCAAAATTCTTGATATTTTATTGACAATTTTTGGTAAAAATTTCAGATTAAAAAATAATTTTCTTTTTGAGTAATTAACGATTTAAAAGAAACGTTTTCTCGTAAAACTTTATCAAACTGAAGATAATGTTACCTTTGACGTCTCATTTTAAAGGGTATCTCATGTTCTTTGAAACCAATAAATACCAAAAGGGTACCAAAGCGTACCAAAAGGTGATTTGATAGCTTGAAACTCCGAAGAGATATTGGGGCTATTTTGGAAAAAAAAAATTTGGACAAAAACTAGCAATTTTCAAAAAATCATAACTTCCTCAATTATCCACATTTTTTAATCGTTCTTTTTATAAAAAATTGACACGAAAATCCTCAGCATCGACTTTTTTGTCCTGCTGATTTGGCGGACATCTACTCATATGGATTGATGATTTAATTAATTGATTACTGAACTGATGATAATGATATTATCATTTTCATCTTGTGATAATTGATCATTCATAATATAATTAGTTAGTTAATTAATGAATAATTCCTATTGTTCTTGATGGAAAATATTTTTTTAATTAATTTTCAAGTAAGCTAGGAGTACATTATCGATTATCAGTAATGACTAGAACCGTAGGACCACCGCTAAAGTGCTAAAATAGAAGAGAAAGACCCTGCGAAATCTTTAGAATTCGTAGATTATTGGTTATCATGAGACGATGTACTCGAGTGTGGGCTGAACCTAAGGTAGGATAATTGGTAAAGAAAATAATCTGCCAAAACACTTGCCATTCCCCCACTGAAAAAATATGAAATTATTTTTTACTGTGAGAGCATAGTAATTTTTAATGTGGGAACATCGAATGCAGGACCGTACCCGCCACACTAAAAAATTTACGGTTTTACATAAAAGTAAAATTTAATTTGACACGAGAAAAAGTCGATTAAAGTAAACAAAATTTTAAAGTTTCCCGGTATGGTCCTCGATTACTACGTTCACATAGTATTTTTTAATTTTCTATTCTCTTTGTGCATAGTGCCCCACTTCCTCCCTTGAGTTGCATGGTAATTAATTAGACAAGAATAATTTATTCAATGTGTCACGACGCCATCACTCACTCTGACATTTCTTCTGTCAATAACCAAAACCAAACGAACCCACCACTAAAATCCCTGATATCTCTCAAGTCGTCCATTGTATTTCTCTAAAAAAATACTACCCTGAAACCAGGAAAATTTCCGATCCAGAAAGGTGAGCATACACTGTTAGAAAATTACTCTTGAAATTTCAAGTAAAAAATCTTGAAATTTTTAATAACAAATAATTTACATGAAATTGCCATCGATCTTGTTATTGATATATCAGTCGATATTCTTGAATATTCAATGAAATTTGATTTCTCAGGTTCATGCGACAATGAAAATGACTGAAAATCATGAAAATTCAGGCATCTTTTCTTCTGAATTTTCAACCTGTTGGTTATTTTTCGCGATAGGTTTGAAAATCCAAACTGTCATTGAAAATTCAATGATCATTCATAATGAAAAACATAATTTTATTGAATTTCCAAGAGGAATCAGGAATTATGAGCAATTTAGTCTGAAATTGAATTCAAGCTCAGAATATTGAAAATTCAAATGCATCTGTTACTTAAATTTCAAAAAATTTCTAACAGTGTAACCCCCTACCCCTCCAGCTCATCCAAAAAAAAATTCTGAATTCAAGTACAAATTTTCCTGTCAATAACTCAAACTTTTTAAAACTCGATAATAAAAGCCTTGATATCTCCCAAACAACTCATTTTGCCCTAATAAAAAAAAATTTAATCTTAAAGCCAGGGAAATTTCCGATCCCGCAGGGTGGTCTAACCTCTTCTCCTCCGCCCCCACCCGCCAACAAAAAATCATGAATTCTCACTGAAGATGAAACGGAAAATCCTCGACATCTCCATTTACCCGGGAATTACCGGTGAAAATGAGTTTTGTGACCAGTTTGCCATCAAGAAAATTTCCCTAGATATCCGATAATATCTCCAGACCATCATAACCTCTAGACGCATTCAGAATTATGATCTCATTTCGCTTGAAGTCTGCAATCACTGGTGAAGTAGTAAAACTGAAGTTTGATCAGACCCGAGGATTTTCTACTTGTTCATCTCCCGAGAATCCCTCCTGGTCCCTACTGATGTACACACTAATAACTCCACTGCACATAATCACCAAAAATTAATCACAATAAATTAACAAAAAAATTCCTTCATCTCAATCAGAACAGAGTGGAGGAGGATGATCGGCACTCAATCATCAATAACTCGAGATCGGCAGTGTTGAATGAAAAAAATCTGAGGCCATTTTGAAGATAATTTTTCAACCTTTAAAATGAGTCCAGATTTTTTTTAAACGGATCGTTTGATCAAAAGTTATGAGAGATTAGGTGGAGATCATTCGAGTGAAAATCGTAGAATCGAAGACGTCGATTTGAATAAGACTTTGGGATTTCGTGAATATTTCAGAAACTAATAGAGATAGCGTAATTTCTGTTAAAACCTCTTCTGTACAGAATTTGAAAAGCTACGCAGAAGGTCATTACAAAAATTTTCCTATCTCTGTTAGTTTCTGAGATATCTACAAAAACCTAAAACCTGAAAAAATTGGCTCGCCTCGTTTTATCGATTTGCCCCACTTTGTCAATCGCAAATAATTGTCTAGTGCACCCGAACCATTATCAATTATTAGATAGATAGATTAGGCTTCATTAGGCTTATAATCGTCCTATTCTAAAAACCGACTCCAACCCTTGAGTGACGACACGCCAGACGAGTCGGTAAGAGTCCAGAAAGTCATCAAAAACCTTAATAAAAAAATGATTTGGCCACTGGGAGGACAAGAACTGGATCGTTGATTGGAAAATTCCCCTGTATGGTTGGTTGCATGAATTAGCTGGCAATGGGAGTGGAAGCCGCGGGAGCAACAGCAGCAGTGGAAGTACTGGAAGTGTCGCCAGCCAGAATAGCCAAGGTGTTCCGTCAGCAGCTACAACCCGTGCCTGTGCCAATGTCAACAGTGTGTCAAGACGGGAGAGTTCTTCAGCAACTGGTCGGTAGATTAAGGATCGAGCGATTAAAACTTTTCTCTTTATCTTCAAAGGAATAATTGTGAATAGGAAAGACCCGGAAAACATAAAGTACTTGAGGCAGTTCAGGAAACTTTTTTTTCGTCTTTGTAGGGGAAGGGTCGAATCGGAGAGATAGGTGGGGTGACCCGAAAAGTTCAACAGGAGAGCAAAAAATATCTTCTGATTTTTTTCCTAGACTCTCCCGTTTGACCTTCAAGAAGATCTGACACTTCTATAACTCTACGTGTACCTCTCATTTGACCCTTAAGATGGTTTGACCCTTCGAGAGAGATGGAGGAGTAATCAGAAGGGTCGAACTTTCTGAAGGATTAAATGAGAGGTGAGTAGAACTATCTGAAGGATCATAGGTTCTTAGGGGTCAAACGGGAGAGCAAGACATACCTTCCGAACATTTCGTTCAACTCTCCCGTTTAATTCCTATGATAACTCCTCTCAATTCTCCCGTTTGACCTTCAAGAAGATTTGACTCTTCTATAACTCTACTCGTCCCTCTCATTTGACCCTCAAGATCGTTTGACCCTTCGGGAGAGACGGACGGAGTGACAAAAGGGTCGAACTTTCTCAAGCTTTAAACGGGAGAGACAGATGACATTATGAGAAATGAAGAAGATTATCAGAAGGTAAACAGGAGAGCCAAAGATGCTTTCAGATCGTTCTGCTCGACTCTTCCGTTTCACCCTTATGATGATTTGACCTTCTGATAACCCCATCCCTCGTCTTAACTCTCCTATTCGAGCCTTAAAAACGTGTTACTCTTCTACAACTCCGCTCATCCCTTCCATTTAACCCTTAAGACCGGCTGAATTCCTGGAAGCTATTCGAAGGGTCATTCGTTCTTAACCGTTGAGCGGGAGAGCAAGAAACGCCTTCTGAAAAGTTTGCTCAACTCTCCCATATGAACTTTAACGGGAGAGGTGAGAGGATAACTGCTCTCACCTCTTCCGTTTAAGTCTTAGAAATATTTGACTCTTCTATAACTCTGCCCATTTGACCTCGAGGCTTGAGGGTCAAACGGAAGAGATAGAGAAGGTTATCAGAAGGTAAACAAGAAAGTTGGAGATGCTTTCAGATCCTTCTGCTCAACCTTCTGTTTGACCCTTATTAATTTTTTATTTGACCTTCTGATAACCCCCTAAAAAAAACTCCGCCCTTCCATTTGACCCTCAAAACCGTTTGACCCCTTGAGAGAAACGGACGGAGTTATCACCAGGGTCAAACCCGAGTTTTGACTTGCTCTCCCGTTTGCCTCTACTCTTCCTACAAAACCGAAAGAAAGTTTCCCGAATTGAGTAATTAATCAATATTAAACGATACTCAACGATTACTCTAGTCAAAAATTGTTAAAAAGAACGCATTGAAAATTACTGTAACCAAAATAACTTATGAATCATTAAAAAATCCGTAGAACTCATTTAGACAAAGAGAAAAGTATTAAAGTCTCATTATCACCTTTTCTCTAAAAAACAAACTAACCGTCATTCACGATAACTGTTACTCGTCTCATTGATGTTATTTATTTTATTGTGTCTCTGTGTATGTTGCCCAACACGCATGTCCACGTTGTACGTCTTCCCGTCTTCCCCTTCTCTTCTGCTTCTTAACTCTTCCAATTGCATTATCAACGATTGAGGATAACATTGAATAATTGAAACAAAAACAAAACCGTTACGATAATTGTTGATGCTCTAATAAATTAAAATACATGAAGATGGCTCGGAGGTGTGTGGCCGACGTGGAGGAATGGGCTATGGTCAGGCCAATGGTGAGGATGATGGTAAGGAGGAGATTCAATTTCCCTCGATGGACAATCAATCGTGCTCGTCATTTCGACAATGCTCATTGTCGTAAACATCATTACGCGCACACTCGAAGTTACATGGAGTCTCAACAGAAATTATTTTCATCAAAAAGTTTTGATTATTATTAATGATCATTAATCATTCATATTTATCAGTAATAATCATAATTTTCAGTAATCAATGATTATAAATAGTTAATGGTGATTAATGATTCGTCAGCATAATTAATCATTACTATTATGGATGTTTAATAGTTATTAATGATGATTAATCATCGTTAATCAATAATAATAGTTATAATTCGTCGGCATTCATATTATTAGTAATTATCAATAAGCGTTCATGAATCAATGTCTAGCGATTTTTAATCATTAATCATTCAATTTTATTAGCAGTAATTCATTATCATCTATGATGACTGATTCTCAATAATTAATGCTGATGAATGATTATTCATCATCATAAATTATGACTATTATGAATGTTTAATAACGATTAATTATATTTAATCATCATTAATCATTAATAACAGCTATAATTCTTCATTATTGATAATGAATATAATTATGGTCACTATCGATTATCGATGATTAATTATTAATAATGTTGAATTGTCATTAATTATTGTATTACCAATTATTAATCATGAATCAATGATGAATAATGTTGTCACATAACGATCAGTAATAAAAATCATTGATAATGTTTATAATAATGAATGATGATGATTATTAATGATTACTAGCTATCAATTAATCATTAATTATTATATTGAGCAACAATCGAATAGCACTAGCTTAAACTACAGTAATAATTAAGGGATTGGTGATTTATGTGAAAAAAAATTCATCGAAAATTAGGAAATGAATCCAGAAACCAATTAATGAAGGAAATAAAATTGTGCCGAATTATTTTTCGTGAGTGCAACATTGTAAAGGCGCCAGGAATAATAAAATTTATGAGAAAAATGTCAGGGTTTTTTTAATAAGTAAGATTAGGTTTTTTGTCTTTTTCGTTTTTTTTCGCGCTCTCTCGACTTTAATGGTGAATTTCAGAGTTGGATCGATTTCAGGAGACGGAGACAATCGCGTAAGGATTATTTTGTTGTTAGAGATTATTTTGAACTCGGGTCACGCGAAGGTCGGGGTTCATCTCAAATCGAATTCAGTAGTTTGATGGTAAAAAAAATTAATCAATTTTCAGTGAAGTTCAGTTTTTGGGGATTATCCCGGAATCTATGATAGATGGCGAAATTTTTATCATAACCTTTTTTGCAGCTTTTGAAATTCTCTAGATAAAATGGTTTTACAAAAATTTCGCTACTTCTATTGGTTCCGAAATATTTCGAATAATCTGATCATCAAGTTGAATTTCCTTTAAAAAACAAATTAATTCTCGTCAAGTTATAGTATCTCATGACTCAATCATGCAATTTTGATAAATGAATTCTCATTTAGAAGTTTTAAAAAAATCTGGAAAATGGCATTTCATTTATCGAAATTCACTCTGTCTATCGCGAGTTGTTAATGATTGAATACGATTCATTATGCCAATAAACTTCATTTGACGGAAATAGAGTAAATCCTGTTCAATCTGCCATGTCTCGTAACCAAACTGTGCGATTTCAATGAGTCAAATCTCATTTTAAAGCTTGAAGAAAGCCATTCAAAATGACATCAGACTTATCGGAATTCACTCTACCGTTCTCGAACTGTCGCTAATTAAAAATCAGTTATTATGACCCAATCTCCTGTATTTTGTCTTAACACTTCACTGCTGAATTTAACGAGACTGTTCTGACCAACGAGAGCAAATAAACTTTCTTATCAACAATGTATTGCCATAAACACCGACCTTCGCGTCTCCCGCCTAAAACGCTTGTGGATCGCTCCACCGCGCAGCTCAATACTTAAAAAAAAACACGAATAGAAAACTAAAGAATTATCATTTCTCCTAATAAAAAAAATTGTGTTTTAATGAGGAAGGTATATGCTTGTAGAAATAAGAATCATGTGTCCCGTCAAGACCTGCAGCCAGCTATCAACCAACTCGCAGTGCTCAGGTAACGCGCACAACGTAGATGAGAAAAAAGTAAATCAATAAATCCGCTCGTCGATCCTCGTCGCCATCGAAGATCGTACGAATCTCCCACTCCTCCCATTTTTCATAATCAAAGGCAAAGAAAAAATCTCTCCCCCCCCCCTCCGAAATTTCCAGTCTTTTGAATTTTTATTTTTACCGTTTTTTGAACGAAATTTCTACGTGTTTTTTTTAAATAAAATGGCAGAAAAAAAATATTGCGAAACGATAATTTTTTTAATGTATCAGGAAGTGACCTCGAGCCAGAACAGATGGCACAAAAAAATATGTACAACAATAATGGGATGAAATGCACCGGTTACTGCAGCTGATAAAAACCCCGGGAGTCTCGATAGTGCACGTATAAAACATGGACGTTTGTTAAACTTCGGTCTCGACGAGGGATCGACGGGCGCATTCGGATTCCCTCGATTTTCAAAACAGTTTTTTTCATTTTTTTTTTGTTCTGAAAACGAGAAATAACAAATCACTCAACAAAACAATAGACGAGGCGTTTAATTGAGAGAAAAGTATAAGAAATTCTGGCACAAATTTTTAGAAAAATGGATGACATTGATAGAGAATTGATAGATTAATCAATTAATTGAGAGTAGTAATTAGGAGATGATTTATTGAATTATCGGTGAAAAGCTAGAGATATAGACCCATTGGCTGCAGTGAGTGTACGACCCTATGAAAATTAACTAGAAGAAGTTAGAAGAAGGAAATATTGATAAATTGTAACGAAAACTCGTATTGGCGTGGGATAGGACGACGTTAGATGTTTAATTAAAAAAATCGTGCATGTGGCTGTTGTGCTGTGCGATGTACCGGAAAGAGCCTGAAGTCTCGGGACCTCGTGTTTGTTTGACTGATAATGAATTGTTGACGATTACAGCACGTCGACAGGAGATTATTAAGATGACTGAGCAGCTCATCGAGAGTATCAATACTGGTGACTTTGAGGGATACACGTAAGGAATTTTCAGTATTTTTATTACTTTTGTTCATGAATGAAAACATAAAAATTGTGATTTAGTTAGGAATTTATTCAAGCAGATGATTTCAGGATTTCCGATTGAATTAAATTGCAAAACAAAAGAGTCAAACGTCAGGGTAAAACGGGAGAGGCAAAAAAATGATCAGAAGGGTCAAGCGATCATGAAGATCAAACGGGAGAGCAAGTAAGGCCGTCTGATTGCTTCACCCATCTCTTCCGTTTGAACGTTAACAATTTTTGACACTTCTGGTAACTGTCTCTCCCAGAGGGTCAAATGTTCTTGAAGGGTTCTTGAAGGTCAAACGGGAGAGGCGGTATTATCGGTATTATTGGTATTATCGCAAGGTCAAACGAGAAAGCAAAAGAGGCCTTATGATTGTGTCGCTCATCTCGCCCGTTTAACCCGTAAGGATGTTGGGCCCTTCTGATAACTCTACCCGTCTCTTCTAAAAGGCCAAACATTCACAAGGGCCAAACGGGAGAGACCGGCGAAGTTATCAGAAGGTCAAATGGGAGAGTAAGTGCCACTGTGTGATGGTTTTCCCTGTCTCTTCCGTTTGAACTTTACAAATATTTGAACCTTCTGGTAACTGTCTTTCCCAGAGGGTCAAAAATCCTTAAAGGGCTCTTGAAGGTTAAACGGACACAGCGGGTCGTATTATCAGAAAGGTGAAACTACAGTATGGGTCAAACGGGAGGAGCAGGCAAACCGATCATAAAGGTCAAACACGAGAGCAAAACAGGACTTATGATTGTTTCGCTCATCTCTCTCGTTTGACTCTTCTAAGTATCTTGCCCGTCTCTCCCGTTTGACCCCTAAGGACCTTTACCCCGTCGGATTATTCCACCCCTCTCTCCTATTTGAACATTGAAAATGTTTAACCCCTCAAATAGCATCACCCGTCTCTCCTAAAAGACCAAACGTTCACGAGCGTTGAACGGGAGCGACAGGCAGAGTTTTCAGAGGAGCCGGAACGGGAGAGCAAGTGATGCCATCTTGATTGTTTCCCCCAGCTCTCCCCTTTTAACCTTAAAGATATTTGAACTTTCTGGTAGCTGCTCTTTTTAGAGGGTCAAAGATTCTTAAAGGGTTCTTGAAGGTCAAACGGGAACAACGGGTCGTCTTATCAAAAGGGTCAAACTATTGTAAGGGTCAAGCGGGAGGAGCAGGCAAACCGATCATAAAGGTCAAACAAGAGAGCAAAAACGGCGTTATGATTGTTTCGCTCATCTCTCCCATTCAACCCTTTTCATAATCTTGCCCGTCTCTCCCGTTTGACCCCTTTGGATAATTCCACCCGTCCCTCTCGTTCGAACCTTGAAAATGTTTAACCTTTCGAATAACTTCGCCCGACTCTCCCAAAAGACCAAACGTTCACAAGGGTCGAACGGGAGAGGCAGGGGGAGTTATCAGAAGGGCTAGAACGGGAGTGATAGCGGAAGTTATCAGAAGAGCCGGAACGGGAGAGCAGGAGATGTCTCCCGAGTGTTTCGCTCATCTCTCTCGATCAACCGTTTTGATTGTTTTACCCGTCTGCCCCGATGATCCCCAAGGAGGTTTGACCCATTTGACGACGCCGCCCGTCTCTCCCAAAGGTTCAAACGGGAGAAGCGGGCAAAACAATCAAAAGGGTCAACCAGGAGAGTTAAAGGAAACAATCAGAAGACCAATATTGCTCGCCAACTCACCCCTTTACCCCTCCTTTCCCTATAAAGGCGAAAAAAAGTTAAAATCTGACTTCAACTATTTGCAACGTCTTTGGTAATTAATAAAACTTCATTTGTTTCTAGAAAAATCTGCGATCCTCACCTAACTGCATTTGAGCCAGAGGCTCTAGGTAATTTAGTCGAGGGAATGGACTTTCACAAATTTTACTTTGATAATGGTAATTATGCCTAGTTTGCATCACTCCTTCTCATACAAATATTAAACTCAAAGCTGCACTGAAACGAATAATGTTTCAACCCATCACTTTGTGCCACTCATAATGAGCTTTCATATGATTTTTCTCTCTCATTTTCCGAGGCTTTTTATCACGTGAAAAACGAAATTCTGTGTAATTTTGAGTTCAGCTTGTCAGCGGAATCATTCTCACTGGGAAAATTAATCCCTTTTTGTGTTTTAAAATATCCTATTTCTGCTAGTTGTAACGTTAAATTTGAACCCCAAGCAGTCCTGGGGAAGAACTCAAGTTGCAAGGCTGTCAACACGACGATCCTGAATCCTCATGTTCATTTACTGGGGGATGATGCTGCCTGTATTGCGTACGTCAGACTCACCCAATACGTTGATAAGTGAGTACAATAATTGAGTTGAACCGATAATTATTATTTAGGAAATTATTTGAGCCGTTTCTTGTAAGAACATGTGACAAAGTGGAATACTTACTTATTTCGTCTTTCGAAGCTGGTATAGAAACTGTAAAAGACGAAATGAGGAAGCGTTGCACTTTACCCTACCTCCCACTTTACCCCATGCAGCCCGCACCGAGAGAAATATTCAATAAAAATTACGTATCTTTTCTGTAATTCCGGAGCGAAATGTGGTTGTAGGAAATTTTACGGAACTGTCACGGAATTTTTCCAGAGCGTTCCGTAATTTTTATCTGAAACTCCTGTGAAAAATTACCATCACTTAAATTTCCTGAGTCGATTCCGTAAACGATGAGCGAATTGTGAGTTCCGTATTTTTTACTGACCATGTCTCTCCGTGTAAATGAATAGTTCATTTTCAGTTCAAATTCCAGAGAATATCTCGTAATTGAAAGAAGAGTGCGAAGGGTTTGTTTTGAACTGTTTTGACAGAAAATTCAAGAGCAACTAGAAATATCCCCGTATTTTTTGAATCATTACTTCAGTAGCGAAGCGGAAAAACGATTCATGTTGACTTGGCTCTTAGCTGAATTTTCGAGGAATATCTCAGAATTTAAGGGAGATAGCGAAGTTTTCATAATAACCTTGTTTGAAACGTAGCTATACATCTATCAGTTGAATCTTTCTATAGAACATGCCCTAATTGAACGCGTAGACTTTCCTATTCTATCTGGACCGAACTATAAACTTTTCTACAGAAATACAAAACCTGCGAAAGATTATAGTATCTAGGAAATCAACGAAAGGGCATTCTTCCATAGAATGGTGAAACTAAAAATTCGTGACTTTCAATTACGGGGAACCTAGGTAACTAATATGAATTTAAATTCCTTTGAAACACCTCACGTAGTAATTATGGACGCTCAGGTAGATGTACGGGACTACCCTTCAAAAGGTGTAGAATTTTAAAAATTATCAATTCAATATTTAAAATTAAATTCAAGAACGCATGGTATGGCGATTTTTTTTATAACAAGCCATTTCAGTGTTTATTGTTACCCAGTACGTGAGCCTTAAAAAGCCAAAATTATCAAATTAATTTGACTAAGTCACACTCTTTTATGGGAGCGTACAAATATTACGTCACATGATTAGGGAGGGGGGTCTGCACGGAGGGGGGAGCGGATATTGCTCGGATTGTGATGTCACACCAAATTTTTTTTTTTTATTTCCAAACGTCACGGATGAATCTTTTCGTCATTTAGTCCGTAAGGCAGCGTTTCACGGACGCTAAAGTACTATGTTTCATCCGTCCCTTCCACGAAAAGAAAATCGGACATCAACCTAGAAAGGCATATAAAAATATGAGATTTATTATGCATATCTCTGCAATTCGAAAAAGCAGCAGCAGCACTGGGGTGCGATGGCAGTTATTCCAAATGTGCGTTCTGTGCGAATTGCCGCCAACCGTCAAAGGGAACTTTTGGCAGTCACATGTAATATTGAAGACGACGAAGATGAAGAATGGAGCGATGAAACGTTCATTGATCAACAACATCTGTTCGTACTAGGGTTTTCAAATGACCCTTCACTGATTTTAATGAAAACTCATTTGACTTGCCCATGAGACTACTTATTTGAAGAATTTTTTTTCTTCCAAATTTCAGAAGTTATTTTTCTTCCAGAAATTATTTTTTGAATGCTGTGATAATATTATAAGTTGACATATTCAGAAAGTATCGAAGAAAGAATTGATTATTCACGTAATGTTTTTTGACACTAAAAAAAAAAAATACAAAATTGTGCTCTACAAAAAGTGGGGGGGGGTCATTGGTTTTGTGACGTAATATACAAGGGGGTGAAACGCGTGACGCAATATTTGAATGCTCCCTTAGGTTGACCTATAGAATTTCTCTATAGCATCTATAAATTCTCAGAATTCTCTCAACATTTCGAAAAAGAAAAGAACCTAGGGTAATTTTCATAAATACCTCTTTTGCAGCTCTTAAAATTCTCCCCAACAAAGTCACCTACAAAAAAAAATGCAAAAAAAATCCCTCAGACAATTATAAACCCCAATTAATTAACAACTCTTTTCAAATTATTTCCAGACAAGGTGTAGCCCACACCCAGCAGAGCGAGGAGAGCCGAGTGTGGCACAAGAAGGACAACAAATGGCAAAACGTACATTTCCACCGAAGTGCAGTGACAGGTCCCTCGCCATTCTCCTACAATAACAAATAAATCAGCATTACCTGGCTCGCTCCATTATATTCCACAACCAAGTTTTTAACGAATAGCAGAAAATATGCATAGAGAAAAAAGAGAGATATAGAACCAAGAGAGGAATCGGTTGAATGAAGGGATGAGAATAAAAAACAAATGTCATGAACGAGAAATACGAAAGGATAATAGGAAATTTTTTTCGCGAGGTACTTAATTATGAGAACCCTCTGATTAACTGGAGGTGGGGTATTTCTGTGACAAAATGAATTATTGATAATTTATTTGTTCCTCTTTGAGCTCAAGGAAATGTCACAAGAGCAATAAGAATATTTATGAATTAAAATCCAATTGAGGAAAATTGTGGGCGATTTCATCACTTCTCTTCTACTTCCTGCGTGTCGATGTGACAATTTAACCCATGAATAAATTCTGAAATAATTCATTTACTTAATGGATAAAACTTGAATCTCACGTGAATGGTCAAATGGCTGATGAACAGGTGTTTTTTGAAGAATTATTTTATCTTTATGTCAACGAGAAGCCGGATGAATCATTGAATAATAAACGAAGTCTGCTTACGATTTTATTATTAGTTAGAGTAACAAATTTATGTAGAGGGGAGTTGAAGTAGAATGGTCGCCGAGGGTTATTGGGGATTGAGGCCCGATCGAGCCTTAATATCGACCAATGTGCCATGTAATGAAGTCTTATGATAATTCGAGTTTCAGAGGGAGGTGGGGTGGAGGCTGCGGAATTATTTCGCCGGGGATTTTTCGTTTTCATAATTCGGGATTTTGCGAGACTGCTGTTGATGAAGGAAATAATTGATGATTGGAGTAAAGTGAAGATTTTAGATGCTGATAGGGGTGAGGGTGCAAGCGTATTGGAAGATATTTGAGAAGATAATTCGAAAAACTCTGGGCGAGTTTAATCAATCATGAGAGTTATTAAGGTTACAATCTTGTTAATGGAGAAAAGGAGATGAGTTGGTAAATTGGATTTGTTATTTTCTGACTAGCTAGGAAGCTAGTGGGTTTAGGGAAAATTCAAAAAAGCTCTGTTGTAGATTATGAAATTCTATATGAGAAACGATTTTTGATATGTTTCAATGAATTGAATACAGTAGCGAGGTAAAACGATTCAAATCGACTTGGCTCTTAGCCGAGTTTTCGACGAATATTTCTGAATCTAAAGGAGATAGCGAAATTTTTGTTACAACCTTTTTTGTAAAGCGAATTGAGAGCTACAAAAAAGGTTCTGACAAAAATTTTGCTATCTACCGTAGATTCCGAGATATTCATCGAAAACTGACCGCTACTGAATAGTCTTTGAGATATTTGCGAAATATTCTGTGAGCTTATTTCAACTCAGAATTTATCGTTGAAAGTTCTGTCTAGACTATTTTGAAAATATCTCCTAAACTATTGGATTTATCTAAAAATATCAAAAGAACTTTTCTATGTCTTAATAAATTTTCTAAAAAAACTTCTGGCATTTTTTCTAAACCTCTTAGCTTTGAAGGTGTATTTATAAAGTAATCGGTGAATATGTTTCATCTGAACTATTTTGTAAATGTCTCTAGAACTATTGGACTCATCGAAAAACATCACAAGACTTTTTGTAGCTTATGAAATTCTCTGCAAAAACTTCTTCAGGAATTTTCCTCCACAACTCTTCCTTCTCGAGATATTTGCAAAATACTGACAAAAACTTTTCTCAACTCATCTCAACTCCACTACTCAATCGAATTTATTAACTAGAAAAAAAACATAAATCAGTCAAACACGAAAATTCAAAATCCGATGGAGTAAAAAAATCACTCGAGACTCCTCACGACACAGTAGATAAATTAATGAATAAAATAAAATTGATCAGCCTGCGCACGTATATCCCTAATTATTTTACATCTAAACCTAAATTAAAATGATACAATCAATAAGGATTTAGTGATTCTGTCAGTTCGAGTAATTGAATCTGTTTTTAATTAATGAAGAAATTAATGGAGATGAAAGAAAAATTAGGATTAATATTTGGGGCCCACTTTTATCGTCCCACTGAGTGACATCACTGATGTTCCTTCCAGAGAGGTTCAGGCTTGCTAGATCTGTCCGCCTCTGCATCGCCATCTCCCCTTTATCACCACCATTTATTCATTTTTAATTAATATTTAGATAATAAAAGAATAAATAAATAATTAAGTCATTTTTATGTGAAAATGAGAAGAGAAAAAAAATAAGCAATCACTGATAGAGAGCACGTCTTGATGATTAATTAATCAATTGATAATAGAACAAATGAGATGAAGATTGATGTTGCATGGCGAAGCAAGGCGTGACAATTTTTAATAAATTACATTTAAATTTAATTAAACAATGTGAATTTAATGTACAGAACATTCTTCCATATTTATTTTCACCTCCTGATAGTCATGTTAATGGTTAATTGATTAATTGCATTCGTGTGCTATTTATCGAAAAAGGACAAATTAATGGGAAAATGAATAATGATTTTCTAATTTTCATTCATGAGGAAATTCTACAGACATGTGATGGTTTCTTATAGAAAATTCTATAATCTTCGAATATTGGAGGAGAGAAAATTTCTATACGATTTGTTTCTGGCGATGACGTACGTGGGAATTGAATCCTATAATTCTATTGAAAGAATTCTTGTCTCTTTAAAAATTCTATAGAAAACTTCGCGGGCTACTTTATGGCGAATTTTACAGAGCTTTCTATAGAACCTATAGAAATAAATCTATCGAATATCTATCGACTGTTTTCCAGATTCTTGAAAACATTTGGAACATTTGCTTGGGGGTCTATAGAAAATTTTGCGGTGGTTGGTATGTAGAGAATCATCTATAATGTGTATAGGAATCTATCGGACTGTCCAGAGAAATTCGTCTTTATAAAGTCCGTACGTGCTTCATAACATTTTCCATGAAAATGCTATAGAAATGTTCTGTAAGGAGACTCCTATGGACACTCTATAGGACTTCTACAAAAACGTTCATTGGCTTTTCGTAAAAAACCATATAAATTTTCCTATAGAACCTTTGGAAAAAAATCTGATGATTCTATAGCTTTGTTCTATAGAGAATCTTCTGTAGTGCCTAGAGAAGCGATGGCTGTGGAATACTGTCTTATAGAATTCTATAAGGTTCTATAGGAGTGTTTCTATACATTTTCTATAAGATTATTCGGGGAACGTTTCTGTAGCCGCTATATGAAGGTTTTATAAAGAGAATACTCCAGGTGCAGTCTATAAGATTACCTATAGAAAATACTATAGAACATGGAAAAAAAATCTATAGAAAATATTTCCATTGAAGATTTCATGGATTTCACGGGGTTTCACCTATAGAACGTTTGAGTTACCTGAGAATTCTATAGATGTGCTCGATAGAATTCTCCACAGATCCATATTTTTTTCTCCAGTATTTCATACAGATGTTTCTACATGAAATATTGGAGAACACGTTGTGGCATGAACAAATTGGATACGATTTTTTTTCTATAGACTCGATAGGTTTTGCCCTTTGAAGTTTCTCTCCTATTGCATTTTCCTACGTTATACAGAACGTATTATATAGCTGTCCTCTACAGCATTTGTCTGTACAAATTCTGAAGGACATGCTATAGAATTGTATAGATGAAATTAAAAGACGATTTTATAGATTCTATAGATTTTTTTTTCTATAGAGCTTTCAAAGTTTCATAAACATCTTTATATAAAACTACTCAAAAGCATAATCCGTGCAGCGATATTGGCTATAGAAATTACCCGAATCCCTCGTAAGTCAGACCAGAATTCTTTAAAAAAATGGTATGAGAAATGCCGCATAAAATGTCTATAGAATTTTTTCAACCTATCATTACAAAACAAATAGTTGATTAATTCTATTCAATTTCTTCTTTACTCGATAAAGTATAAATACTATAAATAAAAGATGATTGTTTCTGCGAATGGCGAGTCTTGAAAAAAAAACTAATAATGTAGTGCGAAGTAAAGTTGAGTTATAGTTTAATTAAATCGAGGGAAAGAATTGAAATAAATTAAAGAAGAATCATTAAATAATTCGCGCTCTCTGTCGTGTCTCTTTTTGCATAGTTAATGTTACATGCATAATATATAAATATTCGATTGAATAAATTAATAACAATGAGAATGGAATAACACTGGCGTTGGATTTCTCTCGCACGATATGAAGATATAAAAGAATTATAAATATAAACAAATCCATGTCAAAGAAAAAAATATTAGGGCGAAATCATTGATTGAAAACCATTTTTATCGAATTTACCTTCGTTATTTACGATTGATGAATATTTCTACACGTTCGTACATTCTCCATAGTTGTCACGAGTAAGTCTCAATCTAATGAAAAAAAATACCAAAAAATTATGAAAAAAATATTAATGAATAAATAAAAGTAAACACTTTTGCCATGGTATTATACATATAAATATTATAAATGATTAAAAAACAAAAACTTTAAAGAACATTACTAAGAATGAAGATATGATTTATTATATTACAGATATATTACTATGATATAAATATTAAAACAATGAAGGAAAACTTGAAAAAAAATGATTAATGATAATTAATTAATAGTTATTTCTACTACTCTATTTCATCGCTTCTCTACGTGTGATTGTTGTATAAAATAATTATTATTTATTTCCAATTTTTCTCATTACGAAATAAACGTTTAAATAAAACCAACAGTTGATGAATTATGGTTATTGGTGATCCAAATTTGGTTAGATGTTTATTTTAGGAATATGAAGGTGAGGACCAAAGTGAGACAAAGAAAAACAAGTGGAAAATTACTTTCGTCACAACATAGTCAATATATTTTTGCTAATAAATTGGCAATTTGTTTCCGAATGGAATTTGTAAAACGATGTATTTTAAATCGAATTTAATGATTTATTGAATTCAACATTGTCACAACGTTAGCAGCCAGCATTGCGCCAACGTTTACATTTTTTATCTTTATTCCTTGCATATTGGTTTCAACATAAATTTTTTCAAAAACAGATGATGCAATTCAGTAGCGAAGGGGTAAGCCGGTTTAAGTCGATTTTGACTATTGGCCAGTTGTCAATAAATATCTCGGAATGTAAGGGAAATAGCGAAATTGTTCTAATTTCCTTTTTTGTAGAGCAAATTGAGAGCTACAAAAAAGGTTATGACAAAAATTTTGCTATTTGCCTTAGATTTTGAGATATTCATTGAAAACTGGGCAATAGTCAAAATCGACTTATACCGGTTTACCACTTCACTATTGAATTAATCTCATGATCGAACTCGGTCATGATGTTGGCAAGAATATTTCAAGGATAATCGGGCGAGGAGTAGGATATTCAAAAAATTCAGCCAATTTCATGAAGATTTTTTCACACATTGAATTCATTTAAATACCGTTTGCAAAACAACAACAAAAATTATTTCCCATATTATTATAATTATTTTCCCATTCGGATTCAAAATTCAGGCAATATTAGGGAGTATCTCCGGTTAAAAATTATTTTTGGAGCTAATCAAATTTATTTGTATCTGTTCCACGCATTGAATGGTTTTCAGATTGTTTTTTTTTTAATAAATGAAAAAATATTTATCCATGCGAAAAAGTGGCAACATCGTCGGTAGTATTTTTTTTTTCACCAGGAGCTGGTCCCACTGGCTCGAGGGAGCTCCAATCACAACGCTTCATCGCTCTCTCTCAAGAGACGTTTAAATTGACCGCGTTACCCCCACCCGATCGGTACCGGAGACGTTGCTGCTCGTTTGGGCTGCGTGCGCAGAAATTTCATTTATCAGTACTTTTTTCGCTATTATTAATAAACAATGCTCCTAGGCGACAATCTTTTTCACTCAAAAAATCATTGATCACATGTTCTAAATGTGTCTAAAGTTTCATGCCTTTGGCTGCTTTTTTTCCTTGGGTTTTGCAGTTTTTTTTGTGATTTCCATAAGATCACGGGTTAAATGACCACTTTTTCAAAAATTCATAATAAATTAACCATGTTCCCCAGCAGTCTGAAACTTTGCACACGCCTTTTCCATCATTTAAAGAATACGTAAAAAATAAAAGAGAAAAATGGCAGCTTTTTTTCTAACCCTCCGGGCTCGCCCGATTATCCTTAATGAAATTCTACTTTACAAAAAATAACACCTTTTTGTAAAGCTCAAGGCTTGTATTGGATAATACCTTGAATAAAAAAAAGTTTGAATCCGAGAAAGCGTTGTAGCAGGGAGCTGACAGTCTGTTATCGCATCTCATTCACGGTTATCAGACTCTACGTGCTGTGCGATCAGTCTACCTGTGGAGGTCTAGACCAGTTGGGCCGCTCCCTTCGCTCCCGAAGACAGTGACACTGGTGTGAATTCCACAAAAAAACGTCGATCGAAAAAAACGTTGCCAGTGATTTTCGTAATTCAGAGTCCGTAAATCTCGCAAATTCCTAATTTCAGAAATTAGGAATTTGAAATTATTAAAAAGTGACCCGGGATAAACACGTATGAAAAAATCGTATAGAAATTTTCTATACGGATTGAGTATATAAATTCTACAGGATTTCCGTATATGATATTTGGATATTTCTATACGAATATTTTCTATACATAAATTTTTACATAAATTTTTGTTTTCATACGACAGATGTCTAAACGCTCCACAGAAAAACGTAGAGAAGTGTCACAACTCCTTACGAAATGTTTCTATACATGTCACAGTGGGTCGTATAGGATCAAACCTATAGAAATCGTATAGAAATTTGTATAATAAATATCCGTACAGAAATATCCGAATATTATATACTAAAATCCTATAGAAATTTTATACGCAATCCGTATAGAAAATTTCTACACGATTTTTTCATACGTGAGCACTCGCGGCCTACACTGTTAAAAATTCTTCTCTGAAATTTCCTGTACACTTTTTGGAAATGTTTATCGAATTTAATTACCACTGAAATTTCAAGGAATTCCGTCATTAAAAATTCACAATTTCGTGGAAAAATCAAAGAGAACTGTAACTTTCAGCTCCATTTTTTCCTGAAAATAAATAGAAAACCAGAAAATTTCAGTAAATATATTCTGGAATTTTCAGAACAGTGACACTGAATGCGATTTAGGGGAAAAAATCATGAAATTTCAAATTTCACTGAAAATTCTATATAATTTGGCACTGAATATTCATATTTGATTGGAAATTCAAATAAATTAAGGAATTCTCGTCTTTGCTGCTTAAAATTCTGGAATGTTACTAAATTTTCAGTGAAACCTGAAATTTCATGATTTTTTCTCCCTAACACGTATGAAAAAATCGTATAGAAAGTTTCTATACGATTTGCGTATAGAATTTCTATAGGTTTTTCGTATATGATATTCGGATATTTCTATACAAAAATTCCCTATACGGATTATTTCTATACGAATTCGTGTAGAAATTCGTATAGAAATGAACCGTATAGGAAATTTTCGTATAGAAATATCCGAATATCATATACGAAAAACCTATAGAAATGTTATACACAGTCCGTATAGAAAGATTCTATACGATTTTTTCCTACGTGAAATCGCATTCAGTATCACTGTCCTGAAAATTAGTAGTCAACGATCCATGAAATTTCATTTTTTTTCTAACAGTGTAGTAGGAGATCAGAACTGGGTCAAAATTAACTGAGAGTGGCGCAACGTTGGCCGATACTAGGCCACACGCGTAAAAAAAGTTAATAGGAAAACCTAGCGCTTCCTCTAAAAAATTCTATTGAATTGCTATTGGAAATCTATAAGAATTCTCTTGAAGTTTTATCAGAATTGTATTAGAAAATTCTATTTGTTTTTTGCCCCATTTCTATAGAAGATTATGCCACATTATCGTAATATTTTGTTAAAAGATATTTGATAGAAAAAGGTCAACGGATTTTGATTTTTCTTTAGAAATTCTTAGATGTAAGCTTTCTGATTTTTTTTTCCACTATATTTTTATATGCTCCTTATAGTAAAATCCAAGAGAAACAACTTGGAAGAATCATGCCCAAGGATTCTTACAGAAAAAATTCCAACAGAATAAGTTATATAGAAAAATCAATATCTATAGACATTTTTCTGTAAACAAATATCTATTTAACAGCGTGGAGGGACGTGGCAAAATTGTTAAGAGAATTGGCACAAAAAAATGAACAGAATCTTCCAATAGAATTCTTATAGAGTTCCAATAGAAATTCAATAGAATTTTTTCAAACGCGCACCCTCCGGCAATCATGGCCCATTCATAATCCCCCAACAAAGAGCGATTGTCCCTTCATTTTTTTAAATCATTCCCTCTGGTATTCCACGATATAACACAGGGTTGGAGCATTTATTTCTCTCGAAATGACGGGAAAGCAACATATCAACGACGGTATTTTTATTCAAAGTCCTAATAACAGATTCTAAAGTAAATATAAGAGACCCCAAATTATCACCCTCATTATCTTTATTCTTCACTATTCCAGCGCAACCACTCACAGTTGACCAACACTTTTCGGATTTAATGAGTGACACAAGTGTCATTGATGAAACACCAAAGGAATTCAGAAGAGATGAATTGCCAGACTGGTACGATGGGGAATTATTCAAAGCGTATGTTTGCATTTCATTGCCTATCAAAATAAAGCTTTTCTGAAACAATTAATATGAAATTGACTTTTATTCTAGAGGACAGAATTACATAGCCAGAAATTTAATGGGGGTTGTTGCAAGCAGCGCGGCTGGAATTCTTGCTGTATTAGTTATTCCGTCGATTCTGAGAGTGAGGAGAAATGAATCATTCATGATCAATTATCATTCTTGTGCCAAATTCATTATCAAATTCATTCTTTTAGATATTAGTGTGGACGAAAAAGAGCGGCACTCCTTGTACCGCGTTTACTAGGTACCTGGAGACTATATTGCATGCGCATAATCTTTATGTGTCTGATATTGACGATCCCAACTCCAGGTAAATATTGAATCTCTCTATATTAAAAATCCAAATCGACTTCTGATGATGAAAATTTGATACTCGAGATTGAGACTCCAAAATTAAGGGTCATATAGGTCGTGACGGGCAGATTAAGGGTCTCAATAAAGGTTACAAGGATCAGATTAAGAGTCACAAGGGTCAACATAAAGATCACAGGGGTGAACATAATGGTCATGAGGGTCCGAATAAGGGTCACATGGGTCGTGAGGTCCAGATTAAGGGTATAAATAAGGGTAACAAGGGTCTAAATAAAGGTTAGAAGGTTCATATTAAAGGTCACAAGAGTCAGAATGAAGGCTAAAGAATAAAGGTCCAAATCAGGGTCACAAGGATCAGATTAAGGGTCTTAATAAAGGTTACAAGGATTAGATTAAGGGTCACAAGGGTCAAAATAAGGTCACGGGGGTCAATATAATGGTCATGAGGGTCAGAATAGGGGTTATAAGGATCAGAATAAGGGTCACATGGGTCGTGAGGATCAGATTAAAGGTATAAATAAGGGTAACACGGGTCTAAGTAAAGGCTACAAGTTTCAGATTAAAGGTCACAAGGGTTAGAATAAAGGCTCAAATCAGGGTCACAAGGACCAGATTAAGGGTCTAAATAAAGGTAACGAGGGTCTCAATAAAGGTTACAAGGATCAGATTAAGGGTCAGAAGGGTCAGAATAATTATCAGGGGGGTAATATGGGGGTTGGCGAGCGGAGCAAGCAGGGGGCGTAGCCCCCCAGTAATCTAAGAAAATTTATATCGTTGTAGGAAGAAAATACATTGTTAGAAAAAATAATCAAATTTGATGGATGGTTTAGGGAGAGGACTTTCAGTTTTTGCGGTATTGAGCAATAGCGAGGATTTTGAATAAAAATGAATCGGTCAAATGGTTCAGGAGGCCTTTGCAAAAAACGATTTTTGAAAAATCTCAACCGATCGAGCTGACATTTGACACAAATTTGAGTGTCAGTAGTGCCAATGAGAAGCCATAATTTCAATGTCTTGGCATTAATTATTCTTCAGTTATTGCCACAGTTCTGGGCATGTGAACACACATGTGCACATACGTACACACGGACATTTTTTAAAAACATAATTTCCTTATGTTGCATGGCATTTCTAGGACTTTTCACTGAAAATTAGGAAATCTAAAAAAAATATGATTACGTATCTTCCATGCGGAAGCCAAAAAGGTAATTTTTCGAGTAGCAGAGATCCCACGACTCAGTTAATAATGGTCCGCCCGGGGGACTTACTCTATAATTGCGTGCATGGCACCATTCATTTCGAAATAAAGTCTATTTTACATGATTACAGAATGAACTTAATGATTTCCGAGAAAATTGGGTCGTGGCTATGTCACCATCTAGAATTACTTGCAACGGTCTGTGCTACACCATTAATTTTTCATTTCAACTTCATTAACTTTAATGAACTTCGAAAGTTTTCGTTAATTCGTAATTAATGAGTTCAAAGATAAAGAACTCATGTTAGTTTCAAAATGTCGAATTCCTTTCACGAGTAAACAGATATGCATACTTCAAGAGAATAAAAACATCGAGTAGATTTTCATATTGTTTTTCAATTAGAACGTGGAACGTTGCTGGACTCAATTCATTTCGCGTTTCAGCTCAATTGACTTCTATTTATTTCGTTATTAGATGATTTCAGGGTAGTTTCAGGCGATTTCACGTGAGTTGAAAGATGATTCCAAAAATGATTTCGGAGAGTTGAAATCACTTGATTTCAGTTATTTCGCCGTGATTTCGAACTGATTTCATGACAGAGTGATACTAAGATGTGAAATTAGAGAATCACAAAATCCATCGATTATAAAGTTTCAATTCGAAAGCAAAAACGCAATTATTTACGTGTTTTCATGGCATATCGTTTTTTTCAAGATTTTGGAAATCCATAAACGTCATACGATATATGCACTCGACAAGCAGTCGGAGATGCAGAAATGCTGGAATCGGTGAAATTACGCACCGTGATATGGTACTGACTCAGTTCGGTTTCATGGGGTATGCCCTCATTGCACCAGAAAAATTGGGTCTGACAAATGAGAAAGAAGGGAGAGAGGGGATCAATCATTTTTGGCGGGTGGTCGGACATGCTATTGGGATTTCTGACAAGTGAGTATATTAAGGATGTTCAGCGTCGCTAAATTGTCGGTAAATGTGTTTGCTTTCATGGTCAACGAAAATTCTGTAATTTCTTCGGCTGACAGCAGAACATATAAAACTAACTTTTCTAACGTTAAAAGAAATTAATCGCAATAATCTCGGCAGAAATGAATACACGAATTTTTCCTTATACACAGGCCCTTATGAAATTTAGGTTCAAATTGATAATTCACCTACTAGAAGAATCTAAAAATCGAAATAAAAATAGAAAGTAATGTGTCAAATCATAAGGGAGGGTAGGGCAAAACGGACCACTGACAGAAAATTGGTAATTGGTCATTTGGGGTCCAGGGGGCGCAGTCCCCGGAGGGAGGGTGGGGGTTGCTCGACGCCCCCCTGAAAAAATAAACAAAAACAATAGAAAAAATTTAAAAGATGAGAAAAAAATTAATTGAAGTAATCCATGAAAAAAATCAAACAGCTGAAAAAATATATTTAAAATCAATCAACTGACAAAAAATTATTTCAATCAATTAAACGAATATTCCTCCCTCCAATTCGTCGTCACTGAGGTCTTGATTGAGGTGAAATTCTTTCTCTGGAATATTCGGGTAACTCATAGAGGAGACATTTGCTGATATACTGGATCCTGAGCATTGTGCTTCATCCATATCCACTAAAATGTAGTATATACTACAGTCCATATCACTAAACATATCTGGGAAAAGCCTACCCGTATCATTCTCATCACTGTCTGGCACATAATTTTGCATTTTCCTTTAATTAACACTCAATTTCTGTTAAACAAAATTTTTCAACGCAGAACGACCGATATCAACAACATGGTTTGCGATAGTGGTAGGGTTTATCAATGGCTAGACCGGTAGTACCGCTGTACGCCTTACTGCACTGTACCCAAGTAGCACAATTTCGATATCGAAAGCGTGCTCCTTGGGTACAATCGTCAAAAAAAGTTCTGGGAGTAACTATAGACGTTGATTGGCACAAGCTTGGGCCAAATAACGTCTAGTTACTCCCAGAACTTTTTTTGACGATTGTACATGCAGTCTCATGAGCGAAAACCAAATCGCCTCACTTCACGCAGCGAATTTATCGGGACGAGGCCTGGTAAATGAATTTACCGGGACTACACTCTAAAAAAAAGTTACTACTTACCAGTACTGAATTCTACTTGGGAGAAGTTTTCTTGTGAAAAGTTAAGAAACTACTTGTCCCAAGTACTTTTCATGTCCTTGGGTGAAGTACAATATTTGCTAAGCAAGTAGGAAAAGTACTAGGAGGAAGTACTTTTATTACTTCCTGTCAGCATTTTTCTTACTTCTCACAAGTACTTTTAATGCTTGGAGCAAGTAATTTTTCTACTTCTCGCGAGTACTTTTATGACTTGATTCCAGTACTTTTGGTTGGTTATTTTGTTGGGGAATTTCATATAATTCATTATCATTCTCATTATCGTTCTCATTATCATTATCATTATCATTCTCAGATGACAATGACCAAATTTCATCGAGGGGAGTAACCTCCCCTCCAGCACAGTGTACTCAATTTAGTTACGATGTGTTA